TCATTTTGTCTTTGAAAGAGTCAATAGTTGTTACTTAGTGTCTTGTTTTATGCTTCACTTTAGGAGAATCTTTTAGTTTTGGTTTTCTGTTTCCTTAAACATTGGAAGTAGTTGCTTTCCTTTGTGTATATAAAGGTTCTTAAGTAAATAAAACTGTGTGTAGAAACTCCCTACATCTTTGTGCCTTCCATTCATTTTAGATAATTCCTCTTAGAGTAATTTCGGGTTTTCTTGCTATTTCATAATATGTTTTTTTAATAGAAGTCACATGCCAAAAGGTCCACTTCATTCGTGCCAGAGCCTAGAGGTAGGAGCACTAGTTCCTTTGATATTACCAGAGGTTTGGGTTTTTTGAAGAAAAATTCTAGGATCTGGTATTATTATTTGCCTTTTTCTTTTGTTTTGCTCATGTAGATTAGCGTCTAAGCACCAAAGAATTCTGATCTTAATGTGGTTTTTTTTCTTTTTGCATGGGGTGAGAAGTGTAAGTGTTATGCCCTAAATCCAATCGATTTAGGTTGTAAACACTTTTAATATGTTTAATACATTTAATTTTGACAAGATCTATTATTTATTTAAATTAATTTTGTGATAAATAATAATAAATAATAGAGTCCAAAAATCCAAGTTTAAGTGATTTGTTAATCACAAGGAATTGTGATTGTGAGATACAAAGTACGTATGATTGGATCTTGAATAAATCGTGGTCGTAAGTAATAACGAGATACGGATATCGTTAATACGGATAGACCATCACGTGTGGCATTTCTTACTTGTGAAGTGAGTAGTTGATCTCACGAGCTAAAGTGTGGTGACACTTAAATGAACACGTGAATGTTTTGTCATAGAACAAAACATTGGAGACCCACTAAAAGATTCCACATGGATAAGTGGTTAATCTCTAATGTTCGGTAGTGGAATTGGTCCTATGACTTGAGGTCATCATAGTGCCTTGTATGAAAACAGTCATACTTTGACGGTGTTGGATGTTGCTCTGCTAAGGGCCGCTAATACGACATCGTTCGGGTATGTCAAGAACCATATGAAGGTTGTGAATGATCAATAGAGGATTCGTCACTCTTAGATAGTAAGAGATTGTGATCTGCATTTCGTTCAATTAAATCAATAACGAAATCCTTGGCCAAGGTATACATATAAGTTGAAAAAGAGTTTTCGACTCATATTGACTTAATAGTAAAATAAAATATATGATCGATAATCTAGATTGACACGCTTCCATATCTCGTAGTTGATCGGATCATATTAACGAAGAGATTATAGTTTCATGGTAAACGAACAGTTTTGATTTTATCATACCACGTGACATTTCCCATCACATGTGTAGCCCTGATACATTGCTAGATGTCAATTTGGGACGGCGAGTGTGAATTTGTGATAAATTAAAAGGGTGTTTAATTTATCAGTTTTGATTAGATCAAAATAATATTTCACGTCGTTAGGTATCGTGGTCGGGAACCTAATGGGTCGCACACAAAAGAGAATTGGGAGATTGCAAATTGCCAATTAATTAATTTAACAATTGTTGGATAAATTAATTAATTGGATTGGTTATTTATATATCCCCGAATTAATTAATTGGATTAATTAATTCACGGATCGAGTTTAATTAAATGGATTAATTAAATATTGGACCGGACCGGATCGAGCCCATTTGAGTTTATATAAATATATGGCTAGGATTTAAGATCCATAAGGTTTTCATTATTTTTGTTGGCACAAGAGGAAAAATCCTAGCAATTGCAGTCTATTCTCTGTATGGATTTCATTGGAGGCTGGACGATTGGACAACTGTGAGAGGCAGATTCAAATTACTGGAAAAGGAATAACGCAAAACAGTTTGCAAAATCAAGAAAAATGTATATTTCTTATCACAGTTCTTATCTAAATACAAAGATGAATCCCGGTGGGAATTAAAACTGTTTATTTCCGTTGTGCATGTTTAAATAAATTCCCAACAAGAAGGATAACCCTTCAAATGAAAATGGTTAATTTTTTTTTTTATCTGAATCGAAATGTTTATTTTGGTGCTCTATGTTTATTTTGTATAAATTACTGAAGTTATTATTAATTTCATGCAGTCCCAAAAAATATTTGTTGTTGAATTTAAAATCGCTGTACAAATAGAAAAAATGCAAAATTTTAAAAAAAATGTAAAATGGCATAAACAACGGTCAAAAAATGCTGCAAAAATAAGAATATAAGCATAGAAAAATATTGCAAAAAAATTAATAGCAACATTTAAAGAATATTGGAAAAAAATGATTAGTAACATTCGAAAAACGTTGCAAAAAACAAAAGACAAGATTCTCGAAAGACCTTTTACAACATTTATTGAACTTTGTCATATCCTTTTGCTCTATGATAATATCAAAACTTGCTACATACTTCCGAACGTTGCAAAAGGTCATTGGCAACATTTTTTGACCATTATAAAAGGCATTTTTTGCTGTAGTGACAAATGGGTATAAATGATGGAGGCTGAACGAAAGAAGCAACAAGAAGATAAATTGATATGTCGGGGGTCGCATTATAAATGTACTTTCTCACTAATTATATGATCTCTATACCAATAGATCATCACCAAGGGGAATTTGGGAAGCACTTGAGAAGAAGAAATGTACCAAGAAATTCTTAATTTCTATATGTTTTGACTTTAAATTTTTTAGATAATATTCCATTGTTGGCTCAAGTGCATGAATTGCAACTAATTGTCAATACGTTGAAGGCAACTAAAATTAAGCCTCGAGTCTTCCAACTAGGTGTTACTATTGCTAAATTACTGTCAACTTGGAGAGATTGTAGAAAGAAAACTCTTGACAACTCTAAAGATTTCTCTTTGGAACAAATACACTAGCATTTTCAAATTGAGGAAGATTCAAGGTACGAGTGATGAAAATTTTAATGATGGCATTTCAAAAGTCAATATAGTAGACAAAGCAAACAACTTCAACAAGAATTAGAACAAGAAGAAGTCTTCAAGTTCTAACAAGGATCAAAACAAGTCTAAAAAGAAGTTCAAACTTCAAAGGGGATCGCTTTGTGTGTGATAAGTTCGGACATCATGTACAGGAATATAAGCATTGAAAACAAATAAGAATGAGGCTAAAGTGAACTCCATTGACATCGAAAGCATTGTCGTTGTAGTGAGTGAAGTAAGCCCATGTTTGAGCTCCATTTTTTCCAATACTCAATTTTATTTTATTTTTCAATTCATTTCTAATCCCACTTTCAATAAAATAATTTTACATGTAAAGTAAAAAAAATTCCTACTTTTTAACCACACATTATCCTAAAACTCACTATTACAAAATAGATTTTCTCCCAAAAATGTGGTTCAAACGGGGATGTTGTCAAAGAAAATGTCACAGGATGGTGGTATGATACTTGTATACTATCCATGTTCTCTTCAAAACCTATCAAGAGATCGATTATGGACAACAAATCCAAACGGGGAATGAAGATCATTAAAAAGTCGGTGTCAAACGGAGCAGAGGCTTGTATTTGGAAAAAAGCATTTTATCGATAAATGTACTTCATATTCTAGACATGAATAGGAATCTTGTTAGGAAGATATTTTGGAAAAACTAGGTATTAAGTATGTATATATGTCATGCAAACTTGTACTCACCCAAAAAGGGATAATTATCGCAAAGGCTATAATTATGAAATTAGTTGTACTTATATGCTTAATTACTTTACTTTATAGCTTAGTAGATTAGCACATATAGGCATAAGTACTATGAAAAGAATGTTAAAATGTAAATTTATTTTATATAATTTAAGAAAATTTTCGAAGTATAAAACTTGTGTTCAATCCAAAATGAGAAACATTTTCATAGTGTAAATAGAACTTCTCAATTACTTGGTCTTGTTTATTCTTATATTTGTGGACTAAGCATGCTAACAAGAAGAGAAATAGATATTTCATTACATTAATTGATAATTGTTATGGATATACGTATATTCATTAGTTGAAAGTTAAAGATGAAGCTTTAACATGATTAAAGTACATGAAAATGGTGTTGAAAATCACTATGGAAGAAAAAAATAAAACTCTTAGAAGTGATAGTGGTAGATTCTAGTGATTTTAACGTATTTTGGATACAACATGGGATCATCCAATCAATGTTCTGCCACTAGAATATTTGAACAAAACGGTTTGACTGAAAGGATTAAAGAATGCTAGTAGAATTTTTCAATGCTATGTTGTTGAGTGCTAAATTGTCATTTAATTTGTGAGATGAAACTTTGTTGAGTGCAAATCTTATTCCAAATGGAATTCCTTCACACACCTTTGAGGCCTATACTTCACTGGTCATCGATGACGGATCTGTGACCTCTACCAACTAGGGTTAAAAATCTTGGCAGTTTTATGGCTTTTCATCAAATGTGATGTCCATTCATTCAAAAGGTATTTTAGGTGGGAGTAGGAAAAAATCTTGAATTAATATCCATAAACAATTTCCAAATTTCCATAACATTAGGGCCCTGCTTGGGAGTGGTTTTGAAAATTGATTTTGTGACTGTTAGAAGAAAGGTAGAGACCACCTGTGAAAGAAGAAATCAAACTTTACTACTGAAATGGTAAATAACGATTAAAAAATTAAATTTTTGAAGTAAAAAATCACTCCCAAACAAGCTCTAGAAATTCATTGTGTTCTCAAGTTCATTTGGGTTTTTTTTTTTTTTTTTTTCACTTATTGCTTGGTGATTAACCATTAAAGGCTTATTATCCTCAGAAGCTACTAGCCAATGCATTACACAAGCACTCTCAAGACCAACCGGGGGCAAATATATTTTTAGGATAGCGTTCTCACATGTAAGTCTTGATCCTTTTTTCAGGGTCTTAATCTCTCGAACACAGCCTGAGCCTAGCATATTAGCTTTAAGACAAATAAAAACATCATTTCTATCTTAATGGTGCCTAATACTTACAAGTGAACCCACTAAACCATAAGCTCAAAAAACAAAACAAAAAGTTAAATTTGATTCTTCATGGAGAATTTTATGATGATACAGTATAACTATGAAGACTTTAGGATGCACTGTATTTGTCTCGACTACACAAGTTCATGCCAGTTGATTCAGGAACAAATTGACATAGAGATTCAGCTGAATCTGAGCTCAAACAAGCTGATTTTATGCAATATAATGATCTATGCATCAAGACGCTGAGGTCTTAGAAGCTATAGCTCATAAGTCACAATAGTTACTGAATCGGGATATATTTTGTGCTTATAACATTGAAAAAGGCCATGTATCAGTAGCCAAGTGATTCTTGTAACATGCCACAAAAATGCCACCAATATAATATCATGCTAGTAGGTGATGCAATATAGGCTAGAAACATTTTACGCGGGGACGGTCATTATCGGACAGGAGGCTCCAAGCTACCAACAAGAATGCCTAGATCAATGTCTTTGTCTTCAAACTTCTTGATGAAGGGGTGATTCTGAAATTACAATAACTTTTGTTAGTAAAGAAATGCTGGGGTGTGGGTGAGTAAAGTGTCAATATGCTAACCAGTAGATCCAGAGCTGAAGATCTGTCTTTAGGATCTTTCTGTATGCTGCACATTCAGCCAATAAAATGAATGAGTAATTGTTGAGAAAAATAATAAGCAATGAGGAGAAAATCGTGAGCCAACCATCTTTAAGGAGATAAGTTATGTACGAATTAAAATGAAATTATATAGATATCATTGCAGCTAAAAAAATAAACTCTCTATTTATAAAAAACAGTTTATATATAATAGAGACATCTTTATATTTGAAAAGTAAATTTTTTTATTCACTCCAACAAATTTCTCTATTTAGACTTTTATTTTGTTTTTTCCAATATACAATTTTTTTATTTCTCTTAATCTCTTATTTAACATCATTTTTTTTATTTTATGTTAAAGGTTAATCAATTCAAATGTAATTTGAATAATTTAAGTTATAGAATATTGAAATTTATAACTTATTAAATGCAATCATTGTTAATTAAGAACAGTAAAGTTAGTTTTCACTCTTTATTTTAGAGCATTTTCAATAGACTTTCTATTTTTAAGAAGTATATTTTACAATTTAGAGAGCGTCGATAAAGTTAGAGAGTAAAATTTTTTAAATACTCCAACAAATTTTTTATGTTTAACACTTAATTTTACTACTTGCAAAAAATAATTATTGTTTTTCCTTAACTTTTATTTTTATTAGCTTCTTTTCAAATTATTATATTATATTTCTTTATTAAAAATTGAAATACTTTGAATACATTAAATTTATAGAAAGTGAATTTAGCTCTTTGAATTTGGAGATACAAACACACTCTCTATTTAAAAATATTTATTTAAGGAGTCTCTTGGAATATAATTGTAAGGATGACTTTTTAAAATAGAGAACATTTTATGTTTAAAGAGTTTCTTGAAACTTATTTTGTGTTTGAAAATTTTCTTGAAAATGCTCTAATCACACTAAAAGAAAAAGTATTTTGTGTTTAAAAAATCTCTTGAAAAATACTCTAATCACATAAATTGTTGTCGTAAACACTTGGAATAAGATAGAATTGAAGGTTGTTAACATATTTATATGAACAATGTTATTTGACCAAATATATATTAAAAACGAAAAGATGATGAATCTATCGAATATTATTAAATAAATTAAATATATATTGAAAAACGAAAAATAAGGTAATGAATGTATAAAATTTAAATAATTGACAAAATAATAATGATAACATTGTTCAAATGATTAATATATTATAAACACATATTAAAAAATGAAAAGTATGGTATTATTGAAATAATTAAATACATATTGAAAAATGAAAAGTAAAGTATTGTTGAAATATATAATTGAATTATAGTAAGGATGTAATTGTTTAAAAATGATTCTCACTTGATGTGATATACAATATATTATAAATTACACATTAAGAGCATCTCCAATAAACTCTCTATTTATAAAAAACAGTTTATATATAATAGAGACATCTTTATATTTGAAAAGTAAATTTTTTTATTCACTCCAACAAATTTCTCTATTTAGACTTTTATTTTGTTTTTTCCAATATACAATTTTTTTATTTCTCTTAATCTCTTATTTAACATCATTTTTTTTATTTTATGTTAAAGGTTAATCAATTCAAATGTAATTTGAATAATTTAAGTTATAGAATATTGAAATTTATAACTTATTAAATGCAATCATTGTTAATTAAGAACAGTAAAGTTAGTTTTCACTCTTTATTTTAGAGCATTTTCAATAGACTTTCTATTTTTAAGAAGTATATTTTACAATTTAGAGAGCGTCGATAAAGTTAGAGAGTAAAATTTTTTAAATACTCCAACAAATTTTTTATGTTTAACACTTAATTTTACTACTTGCAAAAAATAATTATTGTTTTTCCTTAACTTTTATTTTTATTAGCTTCTTTTCAAATTATTATATTATATTTCTTTATTAAAAATTGAAATACTTTGAATACATTAAATTTATAGAAAGTGAATTTAGCTCTTTGAATTTGGAGATACAAACACACTCTCTATTTAAAAATATTTATTTAAGGAGTCTCTTGGAATATAATTGTAAGGATGACTTTTTAAAATAGAGAACATTTTATGTTTAAAGAGTTTCTTGAAACTTATTTTGTGTTTGAAAATTTTCTTGAAAATGCTCTAATCACACTAAAAGAAAAAGTATTTTGTGTTTAAAAAATCTCTTGAAAAATACTCTAATCACATAAATTGTTGTCGTAAACACTTGGAATAAGATAGAATTGAAGGTTGTTAACATATTTATATGAACAATGTTATTTGACCAAATATATATTAAAAACGAAAAGATGATGAATCTATCGAATATTATTAAATAAATTAAATATATATTGAAAAACGAAAAATAAGGTAATGAATGTATAAAATTTAAATAATTGACAAAATAATAATGATAACATTGTTCAAATGATTAATATATTATAAACACATATTAAAAAATGAAAAGTATGGTATTATTGAAATAATTAAATACATATTGAAAAATGAAAAGTAAAGTATTGTTGAAATATATAATTGAATTATAGTAAGGATGTAATTGTTTAAAAATGATTCTCACTTGATGTGATATACAATATATTATAAATTACACATTAAGAGCATCTCCAATAAACTCTCTATTTATAAAAAACAGTTTATATATAATAGAGACATCTTTATATTTGAAAAGTAAATTTTTTTATTCACTCCAACAAATTTCTCTATTTAGACTTTTATTTTGTTTTTTCCAATATACAATTTTTTTATTTCTCTTAATCTCTTATTTAACATCATTTTTTTTATTTTATGTTAAAGGTTAATCAATTCAAATGTAATTTGAATAATTTAAGTTATAGAATATTGAAATTTATAACTTATTAAATGCAATCATTGTTAATTAAGAACAGTAAAGTTAGTTTTCACTCTTTATTTTAGAGCATTTTCAATAGACTTTCTATTTTTAAGAAGTATATTTTACAATTTAGAGAGCGTCGATAAAGTTAGAGAGTAAAATTTTTTAAATACTCCAACAAATTTTTTATGTTTAACACTTAATTTTACTACTTGCAAAAAATAATTATTGTTTTTCCTTAACTTTTATTTTTATTAGCTTCTTTTCAAATTATTATATTATATTTCTTTATTAAAAATTGAAATACTTTGAATACATTAAATTTATAGAAAGTGAATTTAGCTCTTTGAATTTGGAGATACAAACACACTCTCTATTTAAAAATATTTATTTAAGGAGTCTCTTGGAATATAATTGTAAGGATGACTTTTTAAAATAGAGAACATTTTATGTTTAAAGAGTTTCTTGAAACTTATTTTGTGTTTGAAAATTTTCTTGAAAATGCTCTAATCACACTAAAAGAAAAAGTATTTTGTGTTTAAAAAATCTCTTGAAAAATACTCTAATCACATAAATTGTTGTCGTAAACACTTGGAATAAGATAGAATTGAAGGTTGTTAACATATTTATATGAACAATGTTATTTGACCAAATATATATTAAAAACGAAAAGATGATGAATCTATCGAATATTATTAAATAAATTAAATATATATTGAAAAACGAAAAATAAGGTAATGAATGTATAAAATTTAAATAATTGACAAAATAATAATGATAACATTGTTCAAATGATTAATATATTATAAACACATATTAAAAAATGAAAAGTATGGTATTATTGAAATAATTAAATACATATTGAAAAATGAAAAGTAAAGTATTGTTGAAATATATAATTGAATTATAGTAAGGATGTAATTGTTTAAAAATGATTCTCACTTGATGTGATATACAATATATTATAAATTACACATTAAGAGCATCTCCAATAAACTCTCTATTTATAAAAAACAGTTTATATATAATAGAGACATCTTTATATTTGAAAAGTAAATTTTTTTATTCACTCCAACAAATTTCTCTATTTAGACTTTTATTTTGTTTTTTCCAATATACAATTTTTTTATTTCTCTTAATCTCTTATTTAACATCATTTTTTTTATTTTATGTTAAAGGTTAATCAATTCAAATGTAATTTGAATAATTTAAGTTATAGAATATTGAAATTTATAACTTATTAAATGCAATCATTGTTAATTAAGAACAGTAAAGTTAGTTTTCACTCTTTATTTTAGAGCATTTTCAATAGACTTTCTATTTTTAAGAAGTATATTTTACAATTTAGAGAGCGTCGATAAAGTTAGAGAGTAAAATTTTTTAAATACTCCAACAAATTTTTTATGTTTAACACTTAATTTTACTACTTGCAAAAAATAATTATTGTTTTTCCTTAACTTTTATTTTTATTAGCTTCTTTTCAAATTATTATATTATATTTCTTTATTAAAAATTGAAATACTTTGAATACATTAAATTTATAGAAAGTGAATTTAGCTCTTTGAATTTGGAGATACAAACACACTCTCTATTTAAAAATATTTATTTAAGGAGTCTCTTGGAATATAATTGTAAGGATGACTTTTTAAAATAGAGAACATTTTATGTTTAAAGAGTTTCTTGAAACTTATTTTGTGTTTGAAAATTTTCTTGAAAATGCTCTAATCACACTAAAAGAAAAAGTATTTTGTGTTTAAAAAATCTCTTGAAAAATACTCTAATCACATAAATTGTTGTCGTAAACACTTGGAATAAGATAGAATTGAAGGTTGTTAACATATTTATATGAACAATGTTATTTGACCAAATATATATTAAAAACGAAAAGATGATGAATCTATCGAATATTATTAAATAAATTAAATATATATTGAAAAACGAAAAATAAGGTAATGAATGTATAAAATTTAAATAATTGACAAAATAATAATGATAACATTGTTCAAATGATTAATATATTATAAACACATATTAAAAAATGAAAAGTATGGTATTATTGAAATAATTAAATACATATTGAAAAATGAAAAGTAAAGTATTGTTGAAATATATAATTGAATTATAGTAAGGATGTAATTGTTTAAAAATGATTCTCACTTGATGTGATATACAATATATTATAAATTACACATTAAGAGCATCTCCAATAAACTCTCTATTTATAAAAAACAGTTTATATATAATAGAGACATCTTTATATTTGAAAAGTAAATTTTTTTATTCACTCCAACAAATTTCT